TGTTTTGAGAAATGCACTTGGAGATCTGCAAACTTCAATTCTGTTGTGAGAAATGAATGAAAGCGATAGAGAAAAACTGTAAAGCCAAAACTATAAGATCCAAAGGGGGAAAAAACTCACTCTTCAAGAACAGTTAGTGGATTATTTGTATAAAGTTACACAAGCTGTAAAATGTGAAGCAGAGCAGCTTCACATACAAACCTTTATATCTAAATTAGCATTAGTTTCCTCAGATTGTGCCACCTTCTTGGTGCTAGTGTCCTTTTCATTCATTCATGTATCCAGTGTCCTTAGACTCTGTTGAGCTATTACACTGCTGTACACAGATTTTAAATGTTTAAATTCTCTTGTTTTTATTTATTTCTGAGAGAAAATCCTTCATTATTGCAGACATGAGCCACAACAATATAAGTGCCGAATACATTCTTCAACTGCCATCCATGTTGTTTCTGCTCATTTATGTGTTTTGTCAGTGACCCCTTTACAACATCTAACATCCATTCAAATGTTTGCATCAAGCTTGAACGCTGGAAAATCCAAAAGTAACAATTAGATGTATTTGAGATGAATCAGTCAGTATTCCCCTCTGTCATTTTGGTTCAGATTATGATACAGAATAGCAACAAATTACAGGACAAACCTGAATGAATGCAGATGTCTCTAAAGATCTAGGGGGGCTAACTGAATGGTTTAATGAGTATAAAAATGATTCTTCAACTATACGGACCACCTTGGGAGATTTTTGACAAATCTCTGAACAGGAACACTGAAACTGTTCTGGAGGCTCACAGTGGAACAGCTTGCTAGCAGAGTTTATTTTGGTTTTAATTCCATATGTCATCAAACTGTATCCACAGACTACTAGTTGTCTTTAGGGTCATCAGAGGATGAATGGTTTGGATGACTTCCCTCAATAGCGTGACTCGCACTAAATTCTAGGTCAATAAGAAGCATCTTAATTTCACCTAGGGCTCAATGAAGATAGGAGATAGGGCAGACAGTGGTGGTGGAGTTGAGCCAGCATGTGAATGATGCAACGTTCAGTTGAGACTTCCTGGAAGTCCTGGGGGTCAAGGTGGACATGGGGAGCAGGTGGGCTGCACAGAAGGAAATCTGAAAGAAGGATAGACAGAAACACAGTGATATGTAGAGAACATCAACCTCGGACTGACTGGCTTAGTGAATGCACTGATCAGGATCACCGGTGACAATGAAACTATGAAAGTAAAGATTGTGATCTTTGACAAAGTTTCCACTACAGATTATAAGATGGCTTGTTTTTTATTTGAATATCAAGTCCCGAGGTGAGTGCTACTGTAATGTACAGTGTACAGTCACCATCGACGGTGCTGTAGTGGAGAGAGTGAGCAGTACCAAGTTCCTGGAGGTGCACATCTCTGAGGACTTCTCCTGGACCAACAACACCACATCACTGGCCAAGAAAGCTCAAACACGCCTCTACTTCCTCTGCAAACTGAGGAGAGCCAGTGTCCCACCCCTCATCATGCCCTCCTTCTTCCGGGGCACCATTGAGAGCGTCATCACTGGCTGCATCACTGTGTGGTACGCAGCCTGTACTGCCTCCTGCAGAAAGACTCTAGTGAAAACAGCCAGCAAGATCATCGGCGCACCTCTGCCTTCGCTTATGGACATCTTTAACGCCCACCTCACCCACAGAGCCACCAGCATTGCTGATGACACCTCACACTTCCACTTCTGACTCCTGTCTTCAGGGAGAAGGTATCGTAGTCTCCAGGCCCACTCCACCAGACTTTCAAACAGCTTTATTCACCAGGCTGTGAGGATGCTGAACACTGTCAATTACCTCCCCCCCCTGCCCCCTGCCCCTGGACTGTGACCCACCACAGAACATAAAAAGATATAAAAAGACTACCTCTGCTGTTTTGCACAAACTCAGTGCATTCCCCCTTTTTGTTATATTATATGTAAATCTGCTGCTGACTGTTTTTTTTGCCATCATATCTGCTGCTCGGTCATTTGCACTACTGTCCATGTACATTTCATAAACTTTTATGCACCTCATCACCAATGCCCCTGGTGATAAGAGCCCAGATCAGTCGACTGCACCTCTGGATGCTGTTAAAACAGGGCTTCCTTTTGGTACAGTACCATTTTAAGTAGCATTTACGGATGTAACTATGTATTGTAGTGAAGACACAGGTGTACCAAAGTAATCCTGAGCCTATGTGGTTATATTGCTTATAGGAGAGCGATGATTCTTGATGCAGTGTCGTCTGAGGGATCAGATAATTATGTCATGTACTGTACAGGTAGACAGTGACATATCCAAATCCCTTCCTAATTGTCTTTGAGGAACATTGTTTTTAAACTAGGTATAAGCAAATTGATATTGGATTGTGTGTAAGAATGTGTGTTGTTATATCAACTGTTTTTATATGCTTGAAGGAATAAATCAAATCAAAAATAAAAAAAATCAAAACATTTCAATCATTTTCTCAAGCATATTTTGGCAAAATGGTGATCCTCGGCCCTTCTATGCTCCTAAAGGCTTTTATGGATGCCACTTTTGTACCAAATCATGATGCAGTCACCTGTTGACATCACCTGTTTCTTATGGAATCATCATTTCATTAATGAAATACTTCATTACTAGCCATGAAATGCAACCCTCCCAGATTTTATTGAAATGTGTTGCGGGAATCAGGATTGAAATGAGTGACCTGTTGCTAATCATCCCCTGGTCTTCAGCTATTTATACCACCTCCTTTCCCTCAGTCACTAGCTGGTCCATTACTCTGCTCTGCTGAATCTTTCCTGAAGGTTTCCCTCAACCATCCTCAGCCAGCACCTCCCATGAACTCTTTCAACTCACCTTACCTGAACTCTCTGATGCTCTTCCTGCTTCTAGAACTGCCCTTCTAAAATAAAGCTCTTTGTTTTATCCCCTCTGTCTGGGTCTGCTAATTGGGTCCTTTAGCCTAGACTTAAGCTCACTCATCCTAACACTAGTACAATTCAGTGACCCCTGACTCGCTGGCTCTGCAGAATTTACTGCATGTGTTTCTGTTGATTCATAAAATCCAGCTCTCCTATGTGCTGCTCCAGTGAGCAAGGTGCAAACATATCAATATTCCCTCACAGGGGGAAATATTACTGCTCTTATCGACAGTGGCATTACACGGAGACAGTCCACATTTTACATTAATGGCCTACAGCCTCAACATTAGTAATTGTGAAAAACTACACCGGAGAGCTGGCAGTGCTGATGGCAGCTGTTTTAATTCATAAATTATTACACTATACTACAGCCTTCAATGGAAGGAGCACAATTGATCGGTGGCTCTGTTCATTCACGCTTCCAGTTGCCCCCACTTCATCAAATTGGTTTGACCTATAGCTGCTGGCATCATGAAGCAGAGCGCAGCGCCGTGGGTTCCCCAGCGCGGAGGATATAAATACAGAGAGGGAACACCGATAGCAACTACCCTGAACCAATATCCTCTCATCCTCTCTGCTGGACACCAGGCTCACAATACTGCTGACACGATGCAAGTAAGTACAGTTTTGGATACGTTTTGGTTTAATAACAAAAAAAAAAATCTGTGTTTTTTTTTCGAGATTACTTTCTAGAAGTAGTATCCAGGCTATTTTTCAGCCTAAAATGTGGAATACATTTGTTCTCACGGGATGCATGGAAGGAAACAAGACTGATAAAACATTACACTGAATGTCTTTCTAAAACCAGACGATCTGTATAGAATTTCTGTCGCTTTTACGCATTATCTGACTGAGGTGTTGCTCCTGGTAGCGTATTCTGTGCACAGGTGAGACTGAGTCCTTCCCCGAGAAGGATCCCAGTGTGTTAGATTGTGAATTAAAACGTGCTCCCCCACAGGGTTTGAAGACTATCACATTAACTTATGTATTCACCCTTCTACTACTGGCGGCGTTGATCTCACAGTCATGGAGCGCGCCGAAGGTAAGATCAGCTTGATTTCTTATTCAACGATTGTCCGTGATGTTTCCACTCAAAGTGCTCGCATGAGAATTATTGATGCCGAGTGAACGATTCATTACTGCACACATTCATTTTCTGTTTCTTTAAAAGGGCTCTTTCCAACGTAGAAACTGGACCCCGCAGGCTATGCTGTACCTCAAGGGCACTCGTATGTATTTACTTACTGATGAACACATTACGCGATGCAACATGAGTTTTTTGGATTTCAAAATGTCACTTTCCAGTCGTTTATTTCCTAATGTGTCTTCGTCAGGTGTTGTTTATCAAGACATAACAGAGCCAACTTTGACTTTGTGATAAAAAAAAATCACGTCATTGTGAGTAAGAACAGCTGTAACAGAGGGTTTTTTATATTAATTAAGAAAAGAACATCCTAAGGTTTGAAAGCTTATTGTGGTTATATTACATACTGCATTAGTACTCATTCGTATAATGTTAGTCTATTTCCTTTTAATACTGAACATTTTGGGCTCTTTATCTCTCTGCAAAGAGATAAATGCTCTAGACATCACATTCCAAAAATTCATTGCTGGTTGCTTTGTTTGTTTTTTCTTAAGAGGGTCGCAGGTTCATCTCGGAGGACCGAAAAGAGGGCGATGTCTATGACACGTTGCACTTAGGTAAAACAAAGCTGATTTTTTTTTTTTGTATAAAGCAAACGATTTTGTATTTGATAGGGATGATTGATATGAAAGTTAATGCTTCCCAAAACCAGTCCTAGAGCTGGAATCGGCTGTGGTCCATGAAGGTAATCATTGTTGTGGCATCTGTTCCCTGCCAGAGACCCGCAGTCAGAACACAGAGAAGCTGAGTGTGGACCAGGCAGCAACTGTGCTGCTCAACTTCCTGCAGCAGGCCAGAGAGGGAGGTGAGAGCAGACACATACATCACTTTGGTTTTGTCTTAGGCCTTATATCTTAATTCCTAATGTTCATTTTCTCTCTCTCTCTCTCTCTCATCTAGCTGATGAAAACCCAGATGAGGTGTATTTCCAGGAGCTCCCAGTGTGGAAGAGAGAATACTTTTAAAAGCCTCTCATTGTAAAGCTGCCAGGAAACGTCTTTGTTTTTGAATGTAAGTTGCTCTGTTCTGTATGACAGAGAAGAACAGCTGTTTTGTAAATATGAATTCTCTGTTTAAAATGTGATGTTTTAATAAAAAGGGTGTGAATTCAGAGTACGCTTGATGTGAAATTGTCTGAGCTTTTAGTCACAAAATGTTGAAGGTATCTTTCTAATGTTATGATGACAAGGTGTCAGAAAAACGTAGCCTATAGTATTTATAATGACCTGTCAAAATGGGCATGTAAATGGAGATAGAAGCAGTAAGAACTGCTACTATTTCATCATGAAATACTTGGCTTTATACATCAAATTTTTATGTGCATACACCAGTTTTAGACATTTCCTGCTAGAATGATATGGTCAGAAGTACATGGACAGCATTGACAGCAGATCTTATTGCTAAAATACTACTGCCAGACATCATTACCTGCCTTCAGCATTGGAACTCATTAATGTTCCTGGGGCTGAATGGGAGAAAATCCATACAGCCATCTTCTAATACCTGGTGGAAAGACAGACACCAGATGAATAGAGGCTGTATTAATGACTATAGTTTTAGAATCACATGCTAACCTATCACATATGACTGGAATCTTCAGGCATGCATAAATGTTTGGCCGTGTTGTGTATTTTACTCCAAAGAGAACTATCATCTGGAATTTTCAACCAATCATTCACTCAAATCTTAAAAAGATTTATTTATTGCACATAAGAGGGGAATAAAAAGCAGAGATGTACAAAAATCATGACTTTATAAAGAAATGACTTTTCACACTGAAGGCAAAGCTCAGACGCCTATGCTTTATACTCCTGCTGCTTTGTTCTGCTGTGGATGTGAACACACCTCAGATTCACTTTTTTTCTGCCTTTGGTTGAGCATGATGCATTCATTTGCAACAAATCCAAGACTTTTTTTCTCCATTCAACACAAGATTTGGGGTTCAGTGTTTTTATGATAAGCATGAACAATAACAGATAAAAGCTCCAAGAGATACGGGCCCTTTCATTTAAAGGTAAATGTAAAATTAGTTCATCTGACCTTTAGCGCATAATAATGGATGCAAACCACTTTTTGTGACTAAAGGTTATTGTCTCAGACACAGCTACAGAAAACCCTCCAAATCCTTTTGATAATTTTGGCACATCTAGCATTTGAAAACTTTGGAGGTTACAGTCAAATTGCAGCTTGTACGTCCTTAGCCATAATGTGATATTTCATAGTGAAATATATACTTTATATTTGACAGACACCAAGCAGTAACTGAACAATTAACACAGGGGCATGAGATTAAAAAAAAAATGCACTTTTTATTTCACTGTCACTAAAGCAGACTATTATATAGGCTACAACGATTGGATTGGATTAGAGAATTTAACTCAGTTATCTGGATAGCATTTGAAGACACCATTTTGTTTTGTTTATGCAAACTGAGAAGAAGCTTATTAAAAACGGTAGTTGGCCAAGGATCAAACCTCGGAGAAAGCCACAATTAAACTAAGCTGCAAAAGAACAGGTGTTTGGGATCCAGGCCATGTAGTATAGCCATCCTGCTCAGGGTTATTGTAGTATAGTCCAGCAAAACACATAAGTGTATTTTTGAAAGTTGCTTCAAACCCACAAACTTTGTTTCCAGATTATGGAGTTACGATCTTTAATGTGACCTGGTGGCAGCAGAAGTGGAAGTACAGTAGGTAATGGTAGTGGAAAACTTAATGTTTATTGCAGCAGCGACATGTGTGGTCCCTCACTAATGTGCAGTATATCTGGTAATCAGATTGTGATCATTTCATTCACACCCAGCAGAAGCACTGGCTAAACCTGTGTTAATCTCAGTTTTTTGATTCTCCCCGTTGCTTCTTCTTTCCCTCTGGCACATCACCCAACACAAAGGGAGCCTTGATGTTCAGCCGGTCCCTCTCAGCCTCCTCATCTTCATCATAGGGCTCATCATCATCATCATCGTCCTCCACATCACTGTGATGCGGGGTAGAGTGGAGGGAAGCTGAGGGGGAGGGGGGCACAGAGTAGGGCCGGGGATAACGGAAACCCTGTGTCTGTAAAAATACAAGAGTCCCAGTTATTGTAGACTAAATTATGCTGCTTAATATTTAAGATATTCTGTAACAGCAGCCTTCAGTTAATTTCAGTTAAAACCATCAAGCAGAGAGTTCAGACTTGCTCTGTCACAGTCAGCCGCTTCACAGATCGTACATGTCAGGTGGTGAGTTCCTGTGCTGGTAAGAATCTGCAACATCAGAGACCTCAGACTTGCCTGTTGACTTTACCTGTTTTCTCCCCTTTCCAAACTTTTATTCTTTCTTCCTTTCCTCATTTTTTTCATTTTATCTTTCCTCCCTCCCTCCCTTTCTTTCCACCATTGATTCCTTCCTTTACTGCCCTCCTTTCTTTTCAAGTAAATATCAAATCTCTTGTAAGAATCCCTTCTATTTGATGTACCTGGAATTTAACAGTGAATTGAAAAACTGTGAATCAGACACCTTATAGTATCAGAGAGAGCCCTTAAAACAGAAGAGGGAGAGCAAAAGTAGAAAGGAAAATGTCATATAGCGCAGCAATGTTCAACTCCAGCACACTCCAAAGTGATAACTTGTCATTCATCCAAATGTTATGCTGTCAATTAAAACCTGACAAATGTGGACAAAACCCAAAAGTATGTGCTTTGTGTGTGAGTGGCCACGTGATTCTTGTGTAGCAGCATGTAGACTTAGAGGAAGGCTGCGTTACAGGTTCTCAAAACACACCAAAAGGTCACTTTCAGTTTGTAGTGCCACTGAGATATTGTACTTAATAACAAAAGTGTGTGAAGCTGTTCATGTCCTGCTTTTCTCCAGTGCAAACAATTAGCTACAGAAAATGTATGAGCCTGGCAGGTGTTTTAACATTTTCAGTTTCATTTGAACTAATGCACATAAGGCAGTTGATATGGATAAAACATCCAGATGAAGTTTCAAAATATAAAAAAGTCATTTCAGTCATTGGAATTGTTAATTTAAACAACCTGAGTCCAGGCAGATAAATTCATGTTCCAGTCCATTTACAAACTTTTTTTGCACAGTGTTCCTCACCTTCAGAGTTGCCATGGGGTCCATCTTGAACTTGTCCGGGAAGGCTCTACTAAGTGCCAGATGACGGGCATGTATGTAGAACTGTCAATCACAATCAGCAGAGATGTACATCACAGTTAAGCAACATCTAACAGAATATGTTGGAGGCTTTTCTTGGTTTTCTCTGCAGCATAACAGACAAGGTGTGTGGAAGACAGGTGATTTCCATCCCAATTTAAAATCTGATACAGTGTGCTGTGTAAATCCTGACTCTACTAGATAAGTAACACCTAAATAACACTTTAGGTCATCCTTGGCAATTGAAACAGGATGAAGCAAGGACCCGCTCTGTCCATCTGTCCTGTTCTGCCTGGTTAAGATCTTGCTAGATACACCCTCATATCAAACAGCTATTTATTGCTGATCCAGCAGAAACAGACCCGTCCCAGGTATCTCCAGTCCAGCAGGTCAGACAGCCTCTCAGTTCGATTGCGCTGGATGATGCGCTGACGGCGAGACTGCTGGCAGAAACTAAACATGAACTGGGTCAGCTGGTTACAGGACTCTTCAGCGGAACGGAACCGCCGGTCCACAATGTAGATACCTGAGTAAGAGAGAAAAAGGAGAGGGAGACGGGATGCCTAAAATTCTGTGTGTATGTGTGCATGTGTGTGCATACCATAGGCAGCGGGGTCTGAGATGTGTTCCTCCATGAAGCAGCCAAAACCTGACAGGTTGGTTGTCACACTAGGAATGCCCATTACGGTACATTCACCTGCAGCAAGGAATCACAGAACACCACTGTGAAACGGGGCCAATTTCTATATTTTTGCCTACAATGCTTGAATGAAAATTGCACGGTAACATCCATATAAGATCTACCACACACCAAAGTCTGATCTGGATCCAAGTCATATTCTGGATCTGCTGATCCAGAATGTAATGCTACAGACTTGCAACTAAGATCAAATTCTATCTGAAACTCTGCTGATTCAGTGGGTGGCAACAGATTCGATGTCTTCAAAAGTTACTGAGCTAAATCCCGAAGAAAACCACCATTAGTGAAATATTGTCTTTCTTGAATATCATTCAAACTCATCATAATACTATCAGTGTGATTCCAAATGCCAGAGAGAGGTTTTCATGGCCAAGGAATCATGTTATGAGGGTCGCACTACCTTGGGATTATTGCTTTTAGGTGGAATGGCATTATGAGGATAGTGTTCTGCCTTGACGGATGTTCACACTCTGAGTGCTGTCTAGTTGACAGATTACAGGATTAATCACTTAATTGGAAAAATAGTCAGAATGATCTATAAGGGAATTTATCATGGTTCAAGCTCTCTCATGTCTGTTGTTGTCATTTGCATTTGTTTTACAATACATGCACATTTTCAGGTAAAAAACAACACTTGCTGCTAGCCATAAAAATACAATTAATGTCTGATAGGAATAAATCTGATTTGCCCATAAACAGAAATACATAGATGGACCTTTCAGGATGTTAAAGTTTTGTTGTCCTAATCCAGATGTGTATTAATGTGTTTAAACTATTGATTCTAAAAACTAGTTTCCAAAATTTTCAGTAAATGAGCTGGACCTGTGGTTTACAATGGAATAAATTGTGCTGATTTGTGGAAATTAAATCCTTAATATTGGAAAGGTACTGACAGCAGCATTTACAAGGTATTTGTGAGGTATACTGCACCTGCAGGATCGGCCTTATTAAAAAATGAGTGTACTGGTTTTACAGAATACTGCAGTGAGTATACATCATGTGGTAGTGATACAGCACCTCTTTTATTGGAAGCCTGAATGGGTTTGCAGCTGTTATAGGCACACATAGGATGTGTTCTTACAAAGGGTGCAATGGATATAAAAAATATTGTCTAAATGTAAGTCAGCATGCATATATTCTCTTATTGTTATGTGCAGTGGCTATATAGAATGTTGAAGACTTCATCTATTACTGCTTCATGTGGCTGCTTTGGAGCTTTGTGTAACTGCAGTGCCTCTGTTTTTCAGGAAGACGGTGCATTTGTGTGTACAGTGTGACAGTAGAAGGCTACCAGGTGTGTATCCCCATGGTTCATAATAGGAGGGGAACACTCCAAGGTTACAGCCACGAACAAAGTCCTCATAGTCCATTGGCAGCAGGGGACTGGTGGAGGACAGGAACTCAGGGTGGAAGATGATCTAAAGAGAAGAGGGATAGAAATAATAGGTTGGAATTACAGATGTCCATGAATCACCAGTGGGAATTTGCTGTATATTACCTCAGGAGTGTAGATTTACTGTACACTGGCTGTGATGTGTGAAACAATAAATATCTTGTGACCTATAGTAAAAATTACAGGGGAATTTCATGGTTCTTAGAGGATGATTAAGGTTTTTATCCTCTAAGAATTTGTTGCCACCCCTCAGACCAATTTTTAGACTGTCCTCCTATAAAAAAATGAGTCCATGTCATTTAGGCCAGCAAGTTATTATGACCAGCAATAACATGTTATAGTTAGTCAACCTCTAGTGACCAAAGTAATTATGACACGAGCAAAGGAGGCAGTTATTTTATGTAATAAATAAAGGAGGTTAGTTGGATGGATGGGTCAAAAAGATGGAATGTTCCCTACAGGAGGCTGGTGTTTGATTCCCGTGTGAAAGCTACAGGTATATTATTGTAAGCAAGATGATTAAGATTATTTCAGTCCAAAGCACAATCTAAACCTAATGAAACATAACCAAGTGTTTATCATTGTCTCCATGACAACAAAGGTCTGGTAAGTGTAACTTTGGATGGGTCCTATGGATGGTGTTCTAAGGTAGGGACAACCCACACAGTAGTGGAAGAAGTATTTAGGTCTTTAATGTAAGTAAAAGTTTTTAAAAATACTATCGTAAAAATACTCCTGCATTCACAATTTCACTTAAGTAAAAGTACAAAAATATTAGCATCAAATCGTAGTTGGAGTAACTATGCAGAATGACAAATTTTCCATTAATGTTTATTTTATTAATGATTACAGTTATTGACAAATTGTGAAGATCTCTTTAATGTTGCAGCTGGTAAATTTGATTTCATTTACATACTGGTGGGTAGCTGGTGAATCCTCCATCAGGGATCAATAAAATCTTTGTTTTCTAATTTGATTCTAAAATGTTACTAGCCTCTTCTTCTTCTACTTCCGGCTGTTCCTGTCGCCACAGCGAATCATCAGTTCCCACTGAACTGATGATTCACACGTTAAACTTGGCGTGTTTTATGCTGGGACGCCGTTCTGGATAATGTCTAATTTAGAGTTTCCAGTCAACCTAAATGGCATGTCTTTGGACTGTTGGAGGAAACCGTAGCACCCAGAGAAAGCCCACACAGGCACAGAGAGAACATGCAAACTCTGCACCGAAAAACACAGGGTTGGCCGGGGCTCGAGCTTGGAACCTTCTTGTTGTGAAGTAACAGCGCTAACCACTGTTCCACTGTGCCACTCCCAAAACTTAAATTTTACTAGCTGCTAAAGTTGTAAAATAAATTTAGTGGAGTAAAAAGTTTAATATTTGCCTCTGGAATTAATGAAGTCAGTATATGAAGTAGCAGAAAATGGAAATACTCAAGGAAAGAATAAATAGCTCAAAACTGTTTCTGAGTACTTGAGTAAGTGTAATTAGTGACATTCCACCACTGAAACTATGGTTTAGATAGGAGGGCAGACAGTTGTAATTGTTATTCTAGCTAGAAAGTACTTACACTTTTTTACATAAACCTCACATTTAATGATAGCTAGAAAGTACTTACACTTTTTTTACATAAACCTCACATTTAATGATCCCCAGGTGATTCACTAGTCACAGCCCACAAACAAACTTCAGGAGACGACATAACACTGATGGAGTAAATATACAGGATGTGTGGTCTACCTTGACGCGATCATCCCTGGAGTTGAAGAGGCCGATGCGTCTGACAGTGGACAGGATGGGATCTGATGGGTCATCCAGCATGTTGTGAGTGGTTACTGGAGGGAGGCTGTGTCTCTGCAGCAAGGGGTACAACGTGTGTGTTTAAGGCAGTAAAACATACAAGTGGTGAGACAGAAAGAGGGACAAGTCAAAGTGAACGCATTACCAAATACTGATGAGGTATGTTACTGTACAAGATGTACTGATTTTGTTATGATATCACTTATGAACATCTTGTTAATTGATCTTTACTTTGCAGCTTGTGTTCTAATGCTTACACTTGCTGTCAGTTGTTATCCCTGGGAGATAACAATGTTAATCAATTTCAGGTATTCTCATTGTATCAAGATAAATGATTCAATGATGTTATGGTCCATTGCCAATCAAGTCTCTGCAGCACCAAGCAACAAAAGTCTGAGGCTATCAGCTGGATTTCCTTTAGTGTAAATGTTTACATTGCTGTGTTCATATTCTAAATGTCATGCACATCTAAACACACATGCCTAAAGCACTGGAATGAGGAGAAATGACATAATGAGTGTTTGAGTCAGTGGTGTATAATTGGTAACCTTTCAGAGTGTGATCCTGAAAAGTATTGATCAGTCCAGGCATTATGTAAACCCTGGGTTAATGATATCTAATTACTGTCTCACACCACAGCGCATCATAAAACAAAAACAAGCAGTGCTTAATTTTACAACTCCTATGGTTTCCTATTGTTCCCTTTAAAGGAACTTTAATTTCACAGGAAGAAACACCATTTAAGAAGTGCAAATAATTTTTTTTTAAAAAGCAACAGTGTTCAGTTAGTACACTTTCAGGTAATTCATTCTGATTAGTTGCTGTCATTTCCCCGGGGCATCTTCTAGTCACTGCACAGCAGGTAAGCTGAAACATCAGCATTTCATTCAACACATATTGAAAGTAAGCAAACTATCAGAAGATTACTGGCCTGTATTTACCAAAGTCGCTTTTAATTAGATGAAAGCCAGATTTTTTGGTTCCAAATGAATGTGATCACTGGACAGACATAGAGAGGTTAAATCAAGTTTAAAGACTGAATTAATATTAAGCAGCTGTTTTTTTATTTGTATTTTTTATATATATATAACCCTACTGTATGCTACTTAAGTGTTTCACAATTAGAGGTACCACCTGGTAGTACTTCTACAGCTAATAGGGGCTCCAAGGTACCACGATAACCATTGACTGTGATGCTAATATATAATATATTTGTCATACAACCTTATGAAGAACTAGTGCTGATTGCCCAGGACGCACTTCCAACTAACCTGAGTTGTAATGCCTCAACAAAATAGCTAAGAGCAGAAGAAATACAGCAAATCACTGGATGACCTGTACGAAGAATTCTGGCGTCAGTTCTGTCCAAGCTGTTGACAAGGTGTCCTGTCCCCCGTCACAAGACCCTGAAACAGCACCACAGGAGCTGCAATTGGAACTAATCGATCTTCAGCCTGACTCCATTCTAAAAGAGAAGCTCTCTTAAACTGAATGACTTTTATGTTTCACTTAACGAAGCCACGTTTCCAAACCTCTGGAGGACGGCACAAAAGATGCTGCCGTTGTTTGGCTCGAACTATGTGTGTGAGCAGATGTTCAGCATCATGAACATCAACAAAGCACCCCACAGACCCATGTTAACTCAGCAACACCTCAGATCTATCCTGAGAATAGCCACAGCAAAACTAACTCCAGACTTTGACCAACAACAGTGTTCCCACTGAAACTGAAGGTTTAATTCTCTACTGTGTTATATAAAAAATGCATTTGGAGAACAAGTTGTACAATAAGCCTTGTATATTCATGCTTTGCTACCCATTAAAGGCCAAAACCTTTTATGTAATGGCTTTTATATGTCATTTATATTAGTTCACACAAACACTCCATCCTTCTGCCCCCGGCCCGGCCCCTGTGTTAAATTTTAGAACCCATTGTGGCCCACGAATCAAAAGGTTTGCCCACCCCTGGTCTACAGGGTAGAGAAGCTGGAATAACAATAGCAGCCTTAGGCAGCAGAGTGACATAGAGGGGGGCAGTATATCTGAGAGACACCATTTCCTCCCCCATTTTCACTGGATTTATCAGACAATGTGCAAAACCTTGGTTGACACACCTTTAGAGAGTGAGTGCTTGCGGTCAGAGAACAGCAATTTACAATGAAACTTTACTACCAGCTGAATATGGAACAGTACTCAAAAGAATATAACAGGTCATTAGAAGAGGGTAAATATTAGAGGAAGACCTGTATCAATCAGTTTTTAGACACTAGATGGTAAAAAATACCACAAAACGGTGCCACTGTTTAATTAAAATGATATAAAGAAGAACCAGAAACAGACTTCAGTACCTGAGTAGCATAGATGGCTCTCTTCATTATGGTGAAGTCATCTCTGTCAAGAATGGAGTTCATATCAGGGATCTGACCTCTGACAACAGGGCAAACAAAAAAAAACACTCACTCACCCTACAAGAGCTTCACTGATCACAGAGTACCACAGTGTTTATGTCCACTGAGACGTGACATCAATATCAGCTCTCACTGAGATCAGTAAAGCTGCGCTTTCACTTATAGTGTCGATATACTTACTTTAATAGAGCATCATACAGTTTTTTTCCAAACTTCTCCTTCACAGTGTGAGCTGTATCCCTGTGAGACAAATGGAGACCTGCCTCAGAAATATATGTTGACCCAAACTCACAAGCTTCAATTGCTTTACTAAAACAAACCCAAATTCATTCCGTTTCAAACAGTTCACAACAGCCACAGTAGAAAGAGAGACTGAAATTGTCATTTTGATTTTCAAATAGGATGACATCAGTGACCTAGAAACCGTCCTGCACAAGCCTGGCAACTTTTACAAGTGCAGCTTCAGTGTTGTGGTGGCTACGAAGTGTGACCGGAGCCTTTCAAACAGTGTGTGCTCATTTAGAGAGAATTTAAGCTATGTATAGGCCTCCTTATACAATGCCTTGGCAAGAACAACTAATTTCTATATTGGTCTGTAATTGTTTAAGTTATCAGTGTCTAGATTATTTTTTATTTAGGAGGGATTGAACACTGTAGACCATCTATGTTAATGCTGGCATTGGACTACTATTCAAACTACACTGGCATACCAGAGCTGTTTGCGTACCGCCTGTCCCTTCAGTGACTCCACATTGAAGTTGTTTGTTTTGGCTGGCATGATGAAGAAAGCTACCACTGTTACATCATTCCTGTGGACCTGTAGCAAGAGTGAGGAAGACAAGAGAGGAGAGAGGGGAAAACAAGGGGGGTGGGGTAATACACTTACTAGTAATTTGGACAGGAGTGCATGCTTAAGTATGTGAGCACACAGTAAAATACTGCAGAACGCATGAAGGCTAAGGACCTTACCCGCAGCAGGTAGTTGAGTCTGGACAGTGATTCCAGAAAAATATCAGCTCCCTTATTGGAGAACTCATAGCGTCCAGCGATGAAGAAGAAGAGGGTTTTATCCAGGTTGAAGTCCAGATGACTGCCAGGACGATAAGATTTACAATTAGGTTTAAAGAGATACAATTATCCAGCTAGCTAGAAGAAACAAAAGAAGAATGCCCCATTGGTAATGACGGAAGTAAATGGGTTACCTCTACATGAGACAAATCAGAACTACACAGTTAAAACAATCCCCACTCACCCATAAAAGTGTCCTCTGACAAATTCCTGGATGCGGGTCTTGTTAATGGAGTGCAGGTTCTGAAACTCATGCATGGCTGAGAACTTCTTCACATTTAGCCCATTTGGAGTCACTATATCTGCACCATCAACACAGCAACAGCAGGGCTTTAATGGCAGTAGGTACACAGTTACATAACTGAAAGGTTTGCCCTAGTAGTGGCGCTAGTGGAGAGCTGAGGGGGCAGCAAATCTCTGTCTTCATCCTCCTGGGATCATGAATATTCATACTAGATTTACTAGATTTACCACAAACTGACCAAATATAATCTTTGTGGCGCTGCAGTGAAACACTTCCCCACCTGGCTTCCTGTGCACCATGTGGTTGGCCTCCACCGCAGTGATCTGGGAGACTGTGGTGAAGACATGGGCACAGTGAACTGCTGCTCTCTCCAGACAGTAGCGATGGTATATCTGTCTGTCACCTGCCTCCTGGTCAATGTTGAACTACAACACACATACCACAGAAAAGGAGCAGATCAATAATGTCAAGAATTCTCATTGTCACATTTCATTTGTAGGAATAATTTATAAAACATTTAAGAATCAAGAGCTAGAACATAAAATATAACTGCAGGTTTTATAGACTGGAGGAGTCAGGATAGTATAGAATTAAACACAACCATTTGCATATACAGTATGTGCTGAGTGTCATCGCTGTGGTGCTTCATTCTTAGTTTTTCTTATGTGATAATTTACAAAATTAGTGATGCACAGTTAAGCAATTATTATTAACATGAATTTTGTATCCAGCATGCCTCCGTATTCCCCCTCAATACTGGACCATAATACAGGCCCTTGGTTTTAAATTTATTTGGAAAAAGTGAGGCAACCAAAGTTTAAAAATAAAATCTGTTCTTGGTGTAAACTACAAGGAGAATTTGGATTTGAAGGATTTCAAGTTCTGTTATTGATTTTTCTAATTTACATCTACATTATTCAAGTTCCATAGGATGATGCTCTTCCTATACACCCATCATTATCAACATGCAAGAGCTTCGTATCACAGCTACAAAATCTATCTATCTATCTATCTATCTATCTATCTATCTATCTATTTATCTGTCTATTTATGCAGATGTTGTGCTGGAATCTTGCTTGTGGGTCTGCTCAGGTTTGGATGGTAAACATCTGGAGTAGTCAGTGGGCCCCTCTGGTTCATGACTACCCTTTTTCGTATCTCCCCAGCCTTCTGCCTTCATCATGATACAGATATCTGCCTCTTCAGGGAGCTATGCTAGTTCACCCCCCTCCATTCTGTCATGTGGTGTAAGGTGGGGGGGGTCATCGCCATCATTCCCCACCTCTGTCTCTTTTTCAGACTGTGGAGACTTTGTAGTTTCTTTCTTAGGTGGGACAGGGCTCCTGGAGGATTTCCTGTCCTTGGAACGTTGATCTTCTCATTGAGGTGATCTATAAAACGGTCTGTAAGGCCTGTGGGCCCTCCCTTGTGGGCAATAGGCCCCTCTCCCATATGGCCTGTGAACTTCCTCTCCTCTCCCCCATGGCTGGTGGTATTCCTCTCTATACAGTCTATTATCATCCCGGTCTCTTCTTATGGCCTCATACCACCATATTTATCACCACTGTCCAAATCTCTGCTCTCTTTGATATTATGTATTCATAGATTTTATTTTTCCCCTATAGGAAACTCTTCCATATCTTGCTGTGTTGCGCACCCATTTGCTCTAATAGGTCCGTCATGAATTTGATCCTCTTTATGCATGATATGGGATTGCTCAGACGTGAAGTCTTTTTGATCCAGGCACGCACATACGTGCACAACCATAATCACAGCCCTAGTATACCTAATGATTTACATCAAGATGATGACTCAGGTAATCATAACGAATCTCAGCCTGTTGTTAGTGATATAGTGGAAGCTGCCTCGTAAACAAATCACTCAATCAATGAATTCTCCCACAATAAAATACAATTTCTCTGGAACTCTTTATAGCTCAGATCACCAACACAAAGCAGAGCTCACAGTATGTTAGAAATCTTTAAATAGTACTATACAGTAGATGTATGCATGAATTGATTTGCATAAGGATACTGTATCTAGCCTCACGTGTGTAAAATAAAATAAAATAAACTGTTGATCAGATAAGTGATAGAGTTCAGTATATGCAAGTAGATTACTGTAATCGAGTCACATGTAAAGCCAGAAATCTGCGTTTAAATTATTATTATTAAATGTCTTTGTGTAGTGATGCAGAAAGGGTTTCTGGGAAACTGTACGATAGCTCAAACAAGCTATTTTGCAGTACCACACAGTGCAATATCATAACACTCCTGTTGCAGCATCCAAGTGTATTATTTACAGTATTAGGGTAGGGGAAGGGCTTTTAGGGGGGAGAAATGGATCCATCCCTCTTCTTGGGGCACTCAGCACTGACAACTGTTCAATAGTGTCCTTTGTTCTTAGCTTATTATAGATTCAATACACTGTTGTCTGTTTCAGTGCTGTATGTCTTGATTGTGTCTGGAACTTGTGATGCTCCTGTCTTGGCCAAGGCTCTCTTATAAAAGTGGTTGCAAACTTCAATGAAACTTTTAATTAGTTAAATAAAAGTAAAATATAAATCCATCAATAGAACAGTCAAAGTTCTTCTGGACTTCCTGTTCAAGCTGAGGGTTACAAACGCCTCGCTTGTCAATGATCCATTCAGCAGTGCATGGCCTTTAGCTCCACACTGACCTTTAGGATGTGAGCAGATCGGACCCAATCACAAATCACTGACCCCTCCACACACAAATCAACATCCCTAATGATGCTCTAAGTGGCTGTAAAAGGCTGCAATTTATAGCCTGAACCTTTGAATGTGAAAATCTCATAATTGCTCTGTGTGTGTGTCTGTGTGTGTGTATGTGTGTGTGTTAGGGTTGGGAGGGGTGGGGTTGGGTGTCTGAATGTGTTCTAATGGAAAAACAGCAATGAAAAATAGCACTATATATTAAAGTTGTTTCTATATAAATATTATCAAGCAATAACACACGTCTCTGTTGATTGCTAAACTCTTATTTTCAACCAGCAGCCATCATGAGCAATAAGTGCACAAGTGTCATTGTGTTCACTGAAACTGCTGACTGCTCCAAAGGTTCTCAGACTGTATAAGCTTCCAGTTAAAATGTCCCAGTGTGTATGCAAACATTTCAAAGTGTTTGTTGGATGGTCGGCTCAAAAGTTATACAAACAAATACACTGATACCCAACACTATAGCACTTGAAATGGGTTCAGGAGCCAGAAACACAATCAGGATAGTATTACTTTGACTTCTCAAAGACATCAGACAGAGGGTTGAGGTTTTGGGGTTCCTCGACATCTTGGGCCCCTGGGCCTGGGCCTGACAGGCTCAGCAACATACAGTACATAAAATCAATTATTTTTACTCAAGAGGTTTGGCTCTTTATAGCTAATTCCACACCTTAGAATGTCTTGTCTATGGCTTAAAGAGGGTGAATCCTTGACTAACACTAGTGTCAGACTTGCAAAATCAACTTTTATTAACAAACAAGCAGCAAAGGACCTTATTTAATGACCTCAGAAAAGATGAACCCTAACTCCATGCTTGGAGGATGGCGTTTCACACCTTCATTTACACATAGTGCCACACAGCATCAGGTACATGTGACAGGTTCATTGTATTTTGCTTAGAGTTCCAGAAATCAGCCAGTGCTTACACAGTATGCTGAAGGTCAGTGGTTGCTGTTTGTCTCTTAGGGCAGAGACACACCAAGCCCACAGGTGGCCACTGGCCACTATCAGGCCGTCAGTGAGCATCTGTTGATGCTTGTCTTCCCTCTGTGTCCCACACCGTTGGCACTAGTGGGTCCCTGCTGGTGGCTTTTCGGCCAGTTCGACATTTTGAATCAGCATAGCGCAATGGGCCTCGTTGGTGAGAGAGACCACTTTGATTGGCTGTTCAGCTTAGTGAATCAATGTATGAGAAGAGAAGGCCCGCTAACCCTGCCGCTGCAGTATCCATGATTTCACTCATTTAGTGCACTTGTTTTTCACCTCCATAACCTCCTGTCTTTTTCCACAACACCAGTGTCAATTACAACATCTTATCAGACATATTCTCGATTAGAAGCATCTATACACTGCAGCTGTTTTGAACAAGAGGCGCTTTGTTTATAGCTCATACTTCTGCAATCTTGGTCTTCTTTCTCTTTCTGAATGGCGAATACAGATACTGCCACCTGTTGCTAGTGGGGAATTATTTCTGTCACACAGGCACAGAATGTACGTATTAGTCGGCCGTTGGCTGTAGTATGTGCAATGTGTTCAAGTGCCACTTTTTCAACACAACTGGCCCAGACAAAGCTGATGTGAGGCGGCGCAGACGTTGGCCTTCATCACTGCTAGTTCTTTCATGTCGGCTTGGCGTGTCTCTGCCCTTAGTTTGTGGGAATCTAACTAACTAGGAATAATATAAAAAATATGCCATGTTAGCTTAATAGCACATTTCCAAACCAAATTTGATGGTCCTTCTACAAAAGAGGCCCTTCAGATAAGAAACCAAGATCATACAGTCTCATTTCCAACAGTAACAGTATAGCTTCTGTGAAAGTGTCTGTGCACTACATGACCTGACCCCTTACCTTGTCTAGGTTGTTGTAAAAGTCAGCATTCCCAGCACAGATATATCGTCCCAGCAGGGTGGCATGAGTAGTGAATACTGTTGCTATCTTGTGGGCCCGAGACAGAATAAGCCCAGATCCTGCCTGCCACTCATGGAAATGACCAATGACATTGGGCTTGTCACCAAGGTGGTCTGTTAGCTGGAAAACAAAAGATCTGTCAGCAATGGGAAACGTAATGTTTACATAGAGGATGCAACCAAACCGAGTACACTCCTGTGCAATATCACAGAAATTTTATATGATTCAAAATTGTTATTTATGTGTTGAAGTGTAAGGTATTTATGTGCAATGAAAAACAAACTGATTAGAAACACAGGAACCAAAGTCCAGTTTCAATGCAATAAAAATGAAAACACATGTGATCACTGAGACAAAAGTCAGTTTGACAAAAGTGATCCTGTGATTTACTTTTAAGGTTAACTGCAGAAACGAGGTTAACAAAGTTTCTATGAACACCACAGCATTTTGGCATGGGTTGTATTCTATGTAAAAATGGCTCCATGTGGTGAGGAATTACCTGAGCTAGTAAATCAAACTGTGAGACTTTATGAAGATAGGAGAGGCTACAAAAATATTGGTAGGCCATTCAACATACAGTAAGCCAAAACACAGCTGCAGCAGTGGTTAGGAGGTAGGCTACGATGGAAATTAATGTTTCAGTGACTGGTCACAAGGACAGTCAATCTTTGACAGTGTCCAAGAAGAAAACCATTATTCACAAAATGCACAGAACTGCAAGATAAAACTTTGACTGGCAACACATTTTTTGGTCAGATGAAATCATCTGCTCATCTGGCTAAAAACAAACAAAACTGTATGAAATTGACAGGATCTGTAATTAATTAACAGTTCAGAAATGTTGGCCAGGGGTGTACTCAGCTGTGTTGCAAACCTCTGTAGCCACCAATGTAGCAGGAGGCAAGGGGAAAAAATATAAGGATCTGACTGATGTTCACATCAGGTTGAACAGCAGCTGACCTCTTTGAAGAACCAGGCAATAAGGGAGCCCAGGATGAGCGAGTCATTGGCCTCTCTGTCATGGTAGGGCAGGCCGATTTGGCAGGTCTGCCACAGGTCCCCCTTCCAGCGATCCAAGTTCCAGGCAGCAGATCCGATGTCGAACAGGATCACATTGGGGCTGCCCTCGATAAGCCAGCGCCCAAAATAAACCTGCAGACATCAACATCATTGTCAATGCTGGAAACTCACTGAGTGACAAGTTTCAGTTTTCAAAATTAATTTCCAGTGTGGTTGGATACACTGGGAACATCCTATACTGGCAGTACTGCAGTGCTGCATCAAACTTTAAAAGTCATAAACATTTAACACATGTTCACTTTTTAAACTGAGATCTTGACTAGAGCTACTCTTCAGGTAATCGTGGTTGTTCATATTGGCCTTAAATGTCATTGTAACTATTATGGCATATGCCATAAGTTGAGTCCAAATATATTTTATAGGAATAAATTGGCCCTATGATTGTTGTTGTTATGGAGAAATGTTTTCATTTAAATAATTAAGGGCAAGCAGCTCAAGAAACAAAGCCTCAGTTTTTTAATGGCATTGACTCATGAGGTTTCAGGCTGAAGGTTTATCAGACCAATCAGCATGTATCTTAAAGAATATGCATCTTACATGTAAGATGTATAGGGGACCACACAATGTCAGGTCCCTGGAACATCAGGGTCTCTGGTGTGTGAGCGCCATCTAGTGGCCAGTAATCAAAGGGTAGTAATTCACCTCTTCAGTGACAGTGTGGTAAATACTTTTACCTCCTATAAGGTCATCAGTTTATATGGAAATGTAACATAGTAACATGTGTGTGATGAGCTCCAAATAGGTATTAAAATATACACAAAACAACAACCATAACAGCTAATATTGATATATTTATTTAACCATTCTGTTACAGCTGTAAAAATCCCTGTATAACCACAAACTCAATGCAGCTGACTGCTGGCAAGGTGCACAATCAGCTGTAGGATAACAGTGTGCTATGTATGGGTTTGGAAAAATGAACCTGCACTTACCTTATTCGTGTGATAGAACCTTTTGTGGGATACAGGCTCTCTCTTATATGCATACACATCCAGAGCAATCTGTGGCAGGGAAGGCTTCAGGGGTGGGGTCAGAAGGGCATTCAGCCCGGCTGAAACCTTATTGGCCTCTGAAGTGCCCCTGTCTTGTCACTAGTCTTAACTTAGTTCACAGCACTTCTTGTGCATTGAATCCAGGCAGGTAAAGTCACTATTTGATATGCAATGTGTATAATGTGTCTGGATTTGCTTCAGGTTGGTTATGTGTATATCTGTATGTGTGTAAACAGTAACAGTGTAGCTACACATGCTGTTATGCTAAAAGTCTTCTGAGGTCATGTTCCATTCGCCTCCACTAAACTCACTGGTTACAGGTCAGCAATGGTCAAACAATGGTATTTTATTTATTATATATATATCTGGGGGAATGTATTATTATGTGTTATGTATTTTATTCAAATAAGTAAAAAATATATATGTTTGTTGTGTGCAAGTATGAAAATAGTTCAGAACTGTGATTTTCTGAGCTTTTTTTAACTAAAAATGTGACCCCTGATTTGTGGTTCAGCTATTTGAGTTTGAACCACCAGTTCCAGAAAGAATCGCACTTGTAAGCACTTCTTAAGATAATATAACACTATGGCAGCACATGTCTTCCTGAAATACATTAGACATTTTGTTAGCGTATTATGCTAGAATAGCCAAAATAAAATACCAAGATCTCAGTAATATCTGCCAGACTGAGCTACACCCTTATGAACAGGAACAACAAGTATTCATAATCCAGACCTATATCAAATATCATTTAGGTTGCAGACAAACACATACAGTATGTTGACACTCTCCCCCCCTCCCACCTGGCAGCCGTTGTGGATGAGAGCATCCATGGCCTTCCTGATGGCGGGGTTCAGTGGCTCACAGCTCTCCACCTGGGTCTTGAAGTTGTGTTCGAAGTAGGGGCCCATCATGTAATAGTTGTCCCCCCATTCATCTGCTGTGATCTTAGCCTTGGTCTGAATCACTGTGTAGATTCCTCCAACTATAAATTCCCACACAGTGAAAGGAAAAGAGCTCTGAAGTTACGTTTTTAAACTTTGTTTCAACATTTAAGTATTAATATCATTAATAAAAATCAAAGTCAAAAGTGGAATGAATCTAAGTGAACTTTTCCTCTTTCATACTTTCTGTCAAGTACATTTTTATTGCCACTCTGATCTACCAGTTTTAAAACCTTCAGAATTCTGATAAATCAGAAGAGAAGGCCTCGGGGCAGACCCAGGACACGTTGGAGAGACTATGTCTCCCGGCTGGCCCGGGAAAGCCTTGGGGTTCCTCCTGAGGAGCTAGAGGAGGTGTATAGGGAGAGGGAAGTCTGGGAGGCTCTGCTCGGACTACTGCCCCCACGGATAAAGCTGACAAAGATGGATGGATGGATGGATGGAGAATTCAAATAAAACATTTTTCTAGACAAACCAAACTGTGTGTGTTTGTTCATTTTCAAATATTTGTAATAATTTGTAATGGGACTGAAACGGAATTTTGCTAAATTGATTTGTCTGTTAATTAGTAGTTTGTTTGCAGCTTTAGAGCCAAAACAAATCCATTTTAAATCTGGTTACATGGTTATTCATCCAGAAAAATCAAAAAGAGAAAGGAAGCATTAAAAGAGAAGATAATAAACTTTCAGAACCATCTTATAAAATGGATTTGTCACTTTGATGATAGCTGATAGTTGTTTAAACATGTCATCATGACCTGAATATTCTTTGTATTATTT